ACTCACCCACACATACACATACACAATAGCACACAAAGTGAGAATTTAATATATATTGTTAAGGAGACATGGGGTGACACCGAGACATTTCGTGAGGAAAGAGCTACCTCTGGGAAACACTGGAGATAAAAATCAAAATGGTCAAAAGAAAGAGTAAAACCTGATGGACTAAAAACCGAAAATAATATTTAATAAAGAGATAAGTAGCAGCTCTATACCATGTAAAAGGGGTAAAAGGAGTAAAAACCTCTATGATGGGAATTAAGAAAAAGACTAAGAACAATAACTAATAAAGTGACATAAAAGAAACATTAAGAAGTTTGATTAAAATGAACATTTGCAGTAGGAGAAATATAAAAAAGCAATTAATGAAAAGCCTCGTTAAAAAGGTGAGTCTGGAGCCTTTTCTTAAAAACATCAACAGTCTATGCGGCCCAATCAAGATTCACTGTGCTGTACACTATTCTAAGCTTGAGCTTGCAGTTATGACAGGTTTGAGTAATAAATTAATGAAGATTGATTGCTTTGAGGGAAACCTCCCACATAGTTCTGCTGCAGTTTAGGGCACTTTCTATTTGCAAGTGCAATCCATGCATCATTATTTAAGAACTCAAAATAAAAATCTCTGACCTTGTCACCAACTAGCAATGTCAGGTAAAGCAAATAAATGCCAAAGATCTTGGGTCAAAATAAATAAATAAAATAATGACAAGAAAGACCTCATATGTTGATGAAAGCTTTTATGCTTGTTTCTTCTGGTAACATTGAAAATTCGTTTTCACATTGTTTGCCGCACTATGACAAGCATCAGTTGTTTTCTTTGACTCTTCTTTTGGCTTTATTTAATCCTGAACCTTGCACCAGCTACTTTTGGCAGCCTCTTTCAATGTATATCATCCCAGACCCTGAGTTCCCCTCTCAGTCCCTTGCAACATGGGTTTTGCCCTGTGTTTTGCTTACAATCTTTGGTCAACAGAACTAGGAATAATACCTGCCTATCTTGTCCATGTGCTTGTTTCTCTACATACCTTCACTGGAAGCACAATGCCCAAATATTTTTCTGCTGCTCTGTTGAAATAAAAAGCAGACTTTTATTTGCTTCTTTGAGTTAAAAAAAAGGGCCAAAAAAGAATAACAAAGACAGTGACTGGAGCACTGCAGCAACACTACCCCCATTCCATCCTCTCAAAGTCCCCTCAACCCCTCAAGGCTGCCTGTAACAGATCCAGATGGTCTGTCTCTGCCTAATAGCCCCCTATTTTTCCATCAGCAGAGAGCAGTGGGGACACACAAGGCCAGGTTAACCCAGGTTAACTAGGAAGTATTTCCTCTGGGGTTAAATGTTCTGACCCCAGACAATTCCAAACATTACCCAATTAAGAAATTCTCTTCAGCTATCTACCTGATTTCCCCATGAGATCTCTTTCCCCCCAATGGTATAAGAGAGTATCTACTGCCTGAGAGGTGGATGGATGGTATAGTAAAGGTGGGTGTTTTTCTGTTTTGTTCAACAGCAGCCTCAGCCTGTGCTTTAGGGATTGATTATGGCTCCCATCAGACCAATGTTTGCACACACTCTGATCCCCTAATAGAAGCCAAGGTAGCTGCAAAAAGAGCAAAGCCTTTAGCTCTGATGCTTGTGTAAAAGGAAGGGAATAAAAGCTTGAGTGGAGAAGATGAATGACCCCTGCTACTATCCCAGAGTTACAAGTTTAGAAACATTTCAGCATTAAATTAAAAGATTTTTGTTGTAGTAAATGAGCACCTAAAAGTAAAACCTCTGGTTTTTGTCCTCAGTTTCATCTGCTCAGACTAGACAATGCAGTCATATTTCTTCTACATAGAGTTGTGTGTTTCCATTTATACCTGCAGTCCTCCTCAGGAGAGTCACATAATGTTGTTGTGACAGTGGGCCCCCAGTAAGAGCCGAGAGGCTGCAGGTTTTCTTTCCAACCCAAAACTCCACCAGGTGATTTCACTGATTAGTCCCTGCTCTCTGCTTGGAAGTAAGGTAATCACTGAAAGAAAACCTGGCTCTCCATGGCACATGGTTGCCCACCCCTGGAGTAGCCCATACTGCATACACCAGAGCTTCAGCTTGCCAGGAAGTAGGTGTACTGATAGGATATGTGTGGGAACATATACTATCGTAAGTAGTTCCGTAGGGACTGGATGAGAGGACAGAGCGGATGTTATGAGAGACGAACTTATAGAATAAAGTTGAACACAAGAGTGTATTCGTGTCTCCAGTCGTTTGTGTACACTGCCATAATACACAGCATATAATATGGTGTCAGAAGTGAAGAATTCCGTCTCAAGAGTACATAAATGTCGTTCGGAAGAAGTGTTTGGGTGAGTTGTAAAATAACCGCGACGTGAAAGTCCCGTTAGCTAAGCTAACGCTAGACAACAGTTAGACGGCCGTGTAACATAACGAACGACCACAAGAATAAGAATGTTGGATTCCCTCTTCTCTATCAACCCGCCGGAGAACTTTGACTTTTCTGAATTCGTGGGCTGGCCAAATTGGAGACGCCGCTTTGAAAGGTTCAGAATAGCAGCCAGATTAGACAAGAAGAGTGGAGCGTACCAAGTCAATTCACTGGTTTACACAATGGGTGATAAAGCTGACGATGTGTTAGGCACGTTAGGCCTAAGTGATGATGATCTGAAGAATTACAGTAGAGTAAAAGAAGCTTTTGATAAGCATTTTATATGCAAATATAATGTGATCTATGAGAGGGCTCGGTTCAGTAAGAGAGTCCAGGAGCCAGGAGAGTCAGCTGAGTCATTTATCTCTGCAGTTTACAAGCTATCTGAGAACTGTCACTATGGTACACTACGGGAAGAAATGATTAGAGACAGATTGGTGGTAGGCATCAGACATAATGGGCTTTCAGAGAGGCTCCAGATGACATGACTTTAGAAAATGCAAAAGTCAAGATAAGACAAAGAAGCAGCAAACTGGTTAGAGAGACTACAGATCAGAAAGAGGCTAATGTAGATCAATTAAAATTTAGGAAGAAGCCTCACAAAGATCAGGCACATAAAACAGCTTACAAAAAGGGTCAGGCAGATCAGAAAAGCTGTGGCAGGTGTGGAAGGGCTCCCGCACACTCACTGAACAACTGCGCCGCACGGGAAGCTGAGTGCAGGAAATTTCGAAAAAAAGGACACTTTGCTGCTGTGTTTAAAACCAGTAGAGCTGTGGGTGCAGTCCAAGAGGAGGAGGAGGACGATCCTCTGTTCTTGGGAGCTGTGTCGGGAGGAGAAAAACTAAAAACATGGAAAAAGACATTGAAAGTGAATGGCCAAGATATGACTTTCAAGTTGGACACCGGGGCGGACGTGACTGTCATTCCAGCAACCATCTACTCAAGAGAATGGCATGGACCCCTTACCAGAGCAACAAAGCCGCTATGCGGCCCGAGCAATGAGCCTCTGAAGGTGAAGGGACAGTTTAATGGGGTCATGGAACACAAGGACAGGACAACGACACAACCAGTGTACGTCGTACAGGAACTGGCTACTCCAGCCATTTAAGCACTGCAGTTACTGCATCCAGTGGACAGTGTGAGAAAGCTGGAGACTGACATGAAAGAACAATACTCCAAGGTCTTCACAGGGCTGGGGTGCCTGAAGGGGGAGTATAGGATAAAGATGAAGGAGGACGCCAAGCCGTACGCTTTGTCACTGCCCCGACGTGTACCTCTACCATTACACGACAAGGTGAAGGCAGAGCTCCAGAGAATGGAGACCATTTGTGATTATGCCCATCGAAGAGGCAAGGGATTGGTGCGCCAGCATGGTTGTCGCACCAAAGCCAAAAGACAAAATCCGAATCTGCTCTGACATGACCCACCTGAATGAATTCTTTGTCAGAGAGAGACACATCCTTCCTGCCGTTGATGAAACCCTGGCCAAGCTGGCAGGGGCGACAGTGTTTACAAAGTTGGACTCCACAGCTAGATTTTGGCAGGTCCCGCTACATCCAGAATCTGTCCCGCTGACCACATTTATTACTCCGTTTGGAAGATACTGCTACAAAAGGCTCCCATTCGGGATTTCCTCAGCACCAGAACATTTTCAAAAGAGACTTACACAAATGCTGACAGGCCTGGAAGGTACAGTGTGTCACGCTGATGACGTTCTGGTCTTCAGGTCAACACAGGAACAACATGACCACAGACTACACCAGGTGTTGGAGCAGCTCCAGAAGGAAGGGCTGACGCTCAACAGTGAAAAATGTGAGTTTGCTGTGGACAAAGTTATGTTTCTTGGGCATGTCGTCAGTGCAGGAGGTATAGAGGCTGACCCGGGAAGGATCAAAGCCATCAGAGAGATGCCCACACCCAAAGACGGATGTGAGAAGGTTTGTGGGCATGGTCAACTATGTGGGTAAGTTCTCACCACGCATCGCAGAGCTCACACAGCCGCTAAGAGAACTACTCAAAACAGACACTGACTGGACAGTGGGGGAGCATGCAGCAGCGTGCTTTTGACGAACTGCGCCAGGAACTTAGCTCGCCTGCGGTTCTAGCACAGTACTGCCTAAACAGACCAACTACAGTTGCAGCGGACGCATCCTCATTTGGACTGAGAGGAGTGTTGTCACAGATGCAGCCATCGGGGGACTGGCGCCCAGTTGCATTCATTTCACACAGCATGACAGAGGCAGAGCGACGATACGTGCAAATTGGGCATGTGAGTGTTTTCGGACGTATCTAGTAGGAATGGACTTCCTCATTCAAACTGATCACAAGCCTCTTATTTCCCTGCTAGGAAGCAGAGCACTTGATGATATGCCACCTCGTATCCTGAGATTCAGGCTGCATTTGCTTCACTTCACATATGAGATTGAACATGTACCAGGAAAGAAGCTGATAACAGTGGATGCGCAGTCCCGGGCACCAATTCAGGGCGAGCCCACAGCAGAGGACAGAAAGTTGGAGCAGGCAATATCACCAGGACCTGCTCATGGCTGATGGGTTACTGCTGAAGGGTGAGAGACTTGTCATTCCGTTCACCATGCAAGAGGAAATGCTCGATAAACTTCATGACGGCCACCAAGGCATGACGAAGTGTGCCGCCAGAGCACAACAATCCGTCTGGTGGCCTGGTTTAACCACTCAGATCAAAAGGAAAGTGGAGAACTGTGTGACCTGTGCACGTGAGGCTTACAATGCACCGGAGCCACTGCAGTCAACAACGTTGCCTGACAGGCCCTGGCAGCGTGTAGCAGCGGATCTATTCCAGTGGAACAGCGCCATGTATGTCGTGGTAATTGACTACTTCTCCCACTACATAGAAGTAGCCAACCTCTCATCCACTACCACAGCCCACGTGACAGAGAAGCTGAAATCTATCTTCACCCGCCATGGGGTTCCTGAGACTCTCGTCACTGATAACAGCCCCCAATTCTCAGCAGCAGCTTTTGCCAGTGACTATGGCTTCAGTCACACTACAAGCAGGCCCCGCTACCCACATAGTAACGGGGAAGCTCCACACAGGGCTCTCATGGCTTACAGAGCCACCCCTTTGGCCCACGGGTCTTCTCCTGCACAACTGCTAATGGGCCGTAACATCAGAACGCCCTTACTCGTCATTTGAGAGAAGCTGTAGCCAGGTTGGCCTGACCCTCAGGACTTCAGGAGGAAAGATCAGGACTTGGAAATGAAACAGGCCTCCTGGTTCGAAAAGCGACACAACGCCAAGGCCAAACAAGAGCTCAGACCAGGACAGAGAGTCTTGGTGAAAAACACAAGTGAAACTGGAATTGTTAGTGGTCCAGGACACACACCGAGGTCTTACAACGTAGATCTGCCCACAGGTAGTATTAGGAGAAATAGATCTCACATCAGGGTTGTTCCAGAGACTTCCACGGTGACCAGATCCGGCAGGTGTACTAGACCACCTAAGAGAATGGACTTATAGTTAAAAAGTTCTCAGGTTAAAAAGCTGTGGTTCCTTCACAAGGCAGAATAATCCTTGCATAGCTTTGGGGATCCAGGCAGTCTACCCTGACCCCTAGGAGTTAGACATTCAAGCTCCATGTTGCATTGTTTTGTTTGAAATAATACGAATGTCTTTGGAAAAAGGAGAGAAAGAGGAGAGTATTACAGAATGTTTACAAGACATACAGGATGGTCAATGCAGAAAATGTTTAAGAGAAATGATTGGGATATTGCACTATTCAGAAATTGCACTATTATTTGCTGTTCATGTTTATTGTTCAAGATATTGACAAATTGAAAAAAGAAACAATAGCTCTTAAAGAAATCTGACATTAAGCTAAAAGGGGGAGATGTACTGATAGGATATGTGTGGGAACATATACTATCGTAAGTAGTTCCGTAGGGACTGGATGAGAGGACAGACAGGATGTTATGAGAGACGAACGTATAGAATAAAGTTGAACAAAAGAGTGTATTCATGTCTCCAGTCGTATGTGTACAGTAGGGTTCTGGCAATGTTCTCCAGACTGCTCGCTACCTCCTTCTTGAGCTGATGTACCTGCTCCTTGTCTTTGAGCATATTTAAAAATTTATGATCAAGTAATTGACATTGTCTTTTCATTTGCAGATAAGGCTTGTTACGGGAGAGCATGTTGGCCAATGCTCAATACGTTTTTTCTGTCTTTAAGAATTGGGAAATTAAAAACACTGAGTGTGTCATGAATTGAGGCACAGATTTACTGGACAAAAATGCACAGCACCAATGTAGTTCTTAAAAAAAAAAAAAAAAAAAAGACAGGGTTTATTTACACAGGTAAGCAGGCCGACAAGGTAGACAAGGGGCTATATTTTCGTGCACATTTTGGTATTTTGGTGAGTGGCCCAGCCCGGCATAAGTATCCCCCTCCCTAACTCAGCTCCTCCTAGCGGCGTAAGTCGTAGGGAGGGAGGAGAGAGGGCGTGGAGTGGGTTTAGCACAGCCGAGACCTGTATTGACCAATAACATCAGTTCCTCTCCTCACCTTTAATACCGCCACCGGCGAGGCATATTACAATTTTCATGAAGTAGTCAAAGAGATCAAGAGATGTGTGAAGACAGCAATGCCACACTATGGCGACGAAGGCAGCCCCTCAACAAGTGTCGCTGTAAGCGCTGCAGAGGGCGTCCTCCACACTCTCTCATATTAGCACAGATGGATTTGGTGTGTGTAATGTTGGACCCACTGGTAAGACAAACACCCTTTTCCACAAAGAATGACACTCACATAAAGTTGCATATATGATAACCTCACGTGACAAAGGTGGGTTGTGTGCACAGATCATAACATAAATTCCAATAATGGCATTAAAATCGGAACTGACGCATCGCACTCTGTGGCCTGGCTCTTTCTTTCATAGATGTTGGCATATAAAATAAATTTTATATACCAGTATACCACTGCGCAGGGTCCGCCACCCTCTGCCGTGGTCCTGGCAGACACGAAAATAGAGCCCAAGGTAAAAAAAAAAGGCAAGGTTCAATACACTGGGTGACTGTGACTATGACTGTGAAGAAAAAGAGCTGGAAAAAGGACTGTGAAGCACAAGGAACGGCAACAAGACAGTGAGAGACGTGGTTAAATATGAGGTTGATAGGACACAGGTGGGGAGTCACAATCAGGAGGCATGTTAGAGCCTGATATGTATCAACAACCTGAAATGTAATAAAAAAAATAAAAATACCCCCCCCCCCCCCCCATGTAATAATTTACCCAAAATCTAACAAGATGAAAACTTTTTGCCAAAAATCAAATAACTTGTTACATTTTGGGTTTTAGTACATTTTTTTCAGTAGTGTAGTCTAGATTTTAGTGCCCCCCCCCCCCCAAAAAAAAAGAAAAAAAAGAAAAGAAATAAAGAAAGAAAGAAATGTCTGAATCAGGGAATCTTGTAAAGATCCAGCAGTCATTTACAACTACTGCATCTACACACTTCACATATTACCAACATTGTTACAAGGAGAGCACTCTGGCAACTACTGAACCCAGTGCACGTGCTGACACACATCACTAACCCACATATGCACAATATGAACCTTATTTCACCAAGCAGAATAAGCAAGAGCAACTGACCATGTTTCCCAATTCAATAAGCACACAGCAAGGTCAACTGTTATATTTGAAGACTGCAAAATATACACGTAATTTATGCACGTAATTTAGAAAGTGCACAAAAGGCTTGGTTACCTCTCAGGCTGCAGCTTTGGAGCCCAGCAGGGCTAAGTTTAGGAGAGGAAAGCAGTGAGCAGCCTTGCGGTGTATAGAGACAAGGAAGTGTAGGCTATTGCCAAGCCCTCTGACCAAGTAAAGAACTCAATTTCACTGTATCAGAAAAAACACACGAGAGCTCGGCTGTGTGTCTCTGGACATAAAAGACAAGGCACACTGTCGGCTCTTTTAGCCGCCTTTTAACCCCTCTCTCTTAAAAGAATACTCTCTGAACAACTAAGGTACATCTTAACCTTTAAACCAGGTTTCTGATGGTCTGAGGCACAGAAACATCATGCTTCCTCCAGATAGCAACGCGCATTTGCGCGTGACCACCACAACTATGTATGATAACTTGAGCGCATGTTCATCTGATATCAACTCAGAGCGTGGGATCTGCGTGTGGAAGTGAGGAGTGCATCAGGTGAAAAAAATAAAAACATTTTTTTTGCATGCCACAATGGGCTACTTTAAGCCAGGTGCACGATAGGGCCAAACTGCGATACACATTTCTATGTTCAGCGCAGCAGGTGAACCACAGCTCATCCCATGCAGCATAATAGATTCAAATGTTTTTCTGACCTCAACCTAACAGGCTTGACTTGTATTTATTACTATCCTGAGGCTTCAGAAAATAAGTCCAGCTTTAATCCAGGATCTCAGAAATGGTGCTGGATTAAATGTGTCTGCTATATGATAAAAAGTTAAGAATGTCAGCTCCTTAAAAATTATCTTACCTGAAGACATTATAAAATTTAAAAAGTAAGCATTTTCTGGGGCTAATCAAGTTCCTAGATGACTCTTTTCAGGTAATTCTCGCTTACTTTTGCTATGGAGTTCAATCAGCATCAAACTTCAGCAAATGGCACACCTTCTTTGAGGTTGGTTGCAGGTCGGAGAGCAACTTGGTCAGTTGCTCTGAACTGAGGAAGAGATAATCAAGGGTGATTTCCCTCTAGCAGACAATCACAAATATTGGCTTCTGGACAAGCTCTTTGTGATACATGAAGTATCTAGCAAATATTCTCAGTGGTGATTCTTCTTTAACAGCCATAGCCATCAAGAACTTCCACAAGATCATCACAGTCCACCATGGAATAGTTACTTGTGGCTTGCTTCAAAACTTCCCCTTCTTGCCTGCATACAAACTGCAGGAAATGGTCACTGTAGACACTACTGCAAAGCACCAGTTCAAAAAGGACGAAACAACTTTGTTTAGCAATATTGAGAGCCTTGGTAACCTTTCAAAAAACACATTCTGTAATGTTTTCATTATTAAGAAATTTAAAATAGAACAAGCAATCCTGAACTGACAAGCAGCTGGAATCCTACCTAAGGTCAAAAAGGAGACATTCAACATGACAGCAGTTGTTTTTCTTGTTCCCAAACCCCAACAGAGTGCTTTTGACAGGTTTTACATCATCCTGACTATTTTTGAAATGGGTTAGGATTTATATATACTGGGCACCAAATTCTCTGCTTCAAACTGCACTGAGGTGCAAACACCACATATCATCTATTTTCAACATGCGTGAAAGACAAATTTTGTACAATTCTAAATTAGATTAATTAGCTGAATTCTAGTATATTCTAGTGTTAGACTGTGTTTTCACAAATCTAATTATAACTACCTTCAAAAAAAGACAAAAAAAAGTATGACCCAAGGATTCTGGTCCCTAGATTTTGACACAAGCAAAGGAGGCTGAAACATGCACCTCTTTGCTTTAAAGCCTGGTTGCTGAGCAACTGTGTCTTCTCCTCTGCCACACTTTTTTTAAACAATTTATTAACCCAAAAAAGGGTTTAAGCAAAGCTTTGCTCTGAATTAACAATCAGAGCAAAAATGGACCATTTATCCAAATTACATTTTTTTTTAATTAAAAAAAAAGGATTCATGTGAGAGGAAGATTTTTAAGATACAGACTACTTCCTACTTGTGAGCTTGATCATTTGGGATGGATAATGGTAAAGTTTGTGAAATGTTCAGCATTGTCAAAGTCTTTCTATTTGTGTTTCTATTGATGCACTGTGCTTCACTGTGTCTTTAAGGACAGTACAGGGAAGCATGCATCTCTGCCTCCTCGCTGGGTAAAGCCACTGCTAGAACAGCAACCCCTGGTGATGGGCTGTAGTACATGTCGTAAATCCAGCCTTCTCCAGCAAGTTTAATGCAGCAGTGAACAAATTTAAGAGATTAATTACACAGAATATAAACTTTTCTCCCCCTACTTGCAATGTTGACATGTAGTTACTGTCAGACTGGTTTGTGCTCAAGTCCTCTTTTTTCTGTACAGCTCCATTCTTAAAAGTTATTAGGGGTTTATGTTTTCTATGATTGACACTTGATTCACCCTCCTGGTGTACAAAGATTGTGTTGATTATACAGAGGGTACGCCGTTTGAGCAGTAGTCATCACAGTGACTCTCCCACTGAACGCTACAGTGCAAATGCTGGTTTCAGAAAAGAGAGCAATTTGGCTTTAAATTTATACAATGACAGGAGGCAGAACCACATTATCCATACTAAATACAGTTGATAGTCATAACTCTGAATGCTCTTATAAATCTTGGATTATTCTGCACAGATGACTGAACATGTTCATCTTCTGGTAGATGATTCACGCGATCTAGTCCACTCCCGTTGCATTCATCCTGGTCCTTGGAATGACTGTAGCTTATTATAACCTTCTCTATAACCACCATAAAAACATACACACACATTATGGAAGGAAATTGTGGTTGCTATATTAGTGGCCAGGCCACAAGGATCCCTGAAATGTGGGAGTAATTGAGATGGTTGGTGAAAAGGGGAGTGAATCTTAGACCACATCCACACAAGATTCTGGCTGTAGTCCAATTATACCCAGCAGTCTGCACTGCCTCCTGAACTCTAATTACGGCCAGCAAAGCTCAGCTGGTCAGAAACCTGTCACCCATCCCTTCAATTCTCCTGCTATCCCCCCAACCTCCCCACCAGGACTGCTAGCAAGAAATTGCAAAAGTCAAAGACAATGTGTGATGTTCTTTGGTGCCTCACAGTGCAAGTGTGTGTCTGGGTGTGCGTGTCGATGTTTGTGAGGGAGAATGCAATTCAAGCAAATCTGAGCCAGCTTGGCCACCCAGTTGATCCAGCTGTTTAAAACAAAAAGACAGATAAGACATTGACTTTCGAATTAGGAAGATGATAAGATTAATAAATACGCAACGTAATCCACAGATGAAAAGCAGATGATACCACTGAGATGCAGAACCATAACAGAATCACTTAAAGTGTTTTCTTTGCTTTAGCATTTTAGTTTACCTCCAAGTTAAGCCTACTTTTAACAGCATTTGAGAATAAGAAGCCATTTTTGTAAACCACTCTATTTATCGACAGGGACTAAATGTCTCCTTTCCAATGACAGATGTCCCTCAGTAATACTCCAGTGATGCTGCATGCAAGATAAGTGTAAAAAATTTAAAGGGAAAGGGGATGTCACAGGACATAACAATCAAACATAAAATTAGATAACTTCCCAACAATATAGATTAGAACGTCATAAAACTGGAGATCAGAAATAAGTCAGTCTAGTTGATTTGGCTGCTTTATTTATCATTTAAACTTGTCGACTTTCATCAAATTAGGCCCAGGATGCAGTTCACTACAGCATCCTAGAACCACTTCTTTGATGCTTTGTCTCACCATCCATCATACCTTTAGACAAAGAGACACAAACAGTTTTACAATTTGGTACATTGAAAATCCGGATTTTCCTGGGTTTTTATTTGATTACAGCTGAAAAATATTCCCTAGACAGGTCTACTGAGGGCTGTGATGTGTTCCAGTGCCCGGTCATCACAACAGGAGTGCTCTAGGCCTGTGGAGGAATTTAGTGAAGCCTGATTTCAGTGAAATCTATTTTTTTTTTTTTTTTTTTGGAGAAAACTGTTTCCTAAGGAGATCTGTACTTACTTCCCTGAGACTGACAACCTAAACCCTCCAGTGGCCTAAAGCCCCTATTTTACTTCTAGGTATACACCCATTCCCTTCAGATGTGTACAACCAACACAATAACCAGGGTTGACTGATAAAAATATGGCTGCACAGCTAACTATGCTAACGTAACTAAATGAGACTGCTGCAGTAACAGGTACTACGCTTTTCAGTAATGGTTAGTTAGGCAAAGCTATTTTGTTCACTAGGAACTTTTTTCCCTGTAGACTAGGGGCTACTGCCGGGGTGTGTACACCTACAACAAACATTCGTTTTTTAAATATTTACTTATAATCAAACAAAACAAAAATCAAAAACTATATTGAAAAGAGGTGCAGGCTCATGTGACAGTAGAGTTAAGAAGAAAGAGAAAAAAAGACAGTATAATGGGGCATTCACACCAAGCATGAGTAAATGTATTCATGCCAGTGAATTGCATGTAATGTCAATGCAAATACTTGATTAGACTCTTGTACTCAGGTGGTGCAAATTATGTGGCACAAATAGTGCAAATTGAATGGACTATTTTCTGCAAATTGAGAGAATCATCTGAGAGAATGATGTGAATTTGTGGGAGTTGAAAATATCTTAACTCAAGCGAATGCACACTGCAATAACCAATAAGCACAGGGGAACCCCAGTGACATATGACAACAACAGATAGCAGAAAAATGAAGGATTAACCAATCAAGACAGTATTCAGCCTTCTGAGCAGGAGGATAAAATACACATGAATAAGTAAGTCGATAGTTTTATTCATGCTTTGTGTGAATGCAACATAACAAAAGTGCTTCTGTGCGTTTGCCATGTGGCCCTAATCAATATGTCACATGAATAAACGAATAAATAAATACTCTCATTAAAAAACAACATTAATATAATACATTTTACTATTTTATTAAATATTTGTTTTAATTTAAACCTGCCTTGGTAATCAAAGAGTAAGTATGCCAATAAATGCCCTTAAACTTAACCAAAATGCCATGGTTCAATAGAACAGCATAGAAATATGCGGGGGGGGGGGGGGGGGGTATGCAGCACATGGTCGGGGCCGGACTCAAACCCACAACCGCTGGGCACACTAACCCGCTCGGCCATGTGCGACTTTCAGAGTAAATTTTTGTTACAGAGTCTTTTGTGAAATACACATTTTATTTTTTGAGTTTGCACGTGGGTCCCCCTTTTTGTTTTTGATCAATTGTGACATAGCAGAAATAAAGAAAGACTAATTGCTGACTTATAGTGTAAGGTACTTCTCTCCTCTTAAAGTGAAAATAATGACAGCAATTGACATACTTGATCCTCTGCCTCAAAGTAGCTCATTCACTGACTGTGTCTATAAAAGCATATTCTCTCAGTCCTGAACTTGTGGGCATGCACTTGGAACTGCAAAAGAAACGAGAATAGGGAGAGGCCATCACGTTGGCCTGGATCTCATATCCCTGAACTAATATAAATTTTAGGTTAGATTTAAAAGGTCAGTTTGGTGGGCGACGCTGTGCACAAACATAAAACTCCTCACCAAAATGCAGAGGGCCCTTTGGCTTTAGAGGGCAAAGGGGGTATGTGCTCAAGACCTCTTAATGTCTGTGCGCATGTGCCTGCATGGCGGTACAACGGAGCAACAGTGATTGTTCACTGTCCCACAGGTCAGTGCTATGATGTTACTGTGTCATTAGTCTTTTTTTTCTTTCAAGTAATGCACAATTTTAGGGAAACATTTGACCGACAGAAGAATTTTTTCCTCAGGAGTGAAGCTTTCAGGAAGGGATCTGATTCTCATCAAAACCTGTTCTTTAATATGCATTCCTTTTTCTGTTAGTAACAGCTGGAATCAGCTTCTGGGGTGACTCTGTTGATGTTTGACATCTTTTGCTGCTATTATCTTTAATTGCTCAATGTGAAAGCCTGATCTATCCTGGTTTGGAGATACATTGGTGAACATATTTAGTCAGATGTTTCACAGTTTTGATCACCATCTAAAGAACTAAAAATGAAGATGCCGTCAGGAGTCCAGTGAAGTGAATGTCTGTCCAGCATCAGTCAACCATAGTGCCATTACATCTGCTTTACAATGGCTGGGTGATGGCTGCAGAGCAGCTTGGTGTTAAATTTGTTATGTATGTTAAAAGATAAGACCCTTCACACCCTCAACGTGAGTAATCAAATATTGAGAAGCTTCTGTTTTCCTTTTCTCCTTTCATCATAAAGCAGCTTCTAATATTGAGATGAGCAGTGATATTAAACAACAAGGACACTTTAAGTGTTCTCACTTGTTAGCTTTCACTTAGTCCTGAACAGGCCAGAACCTCCATTTAGAGTGATGCTAAGCCCTTCATTCAATCTACACACTTGGATCCCTATTTACTAGTGACATTTTATTTAGACTGTGTACTTTAGCTAGGACAGAGCCCTTTGCATTT